CTGAGTTAAAATACTAAAAACCATTAAGTTTTAATTAGAATAGGAAATTATAGTTACACATTCTTAATTATCACTTTATATCCAAATGTGTGTAGTCATTAAAACTCCTATTAATTATAGATTAAATATTAACTGTGGAATTATACCATCTGTATGGAAAGCCTTATTATTACCTTGATACAGCCATATTTTTGTACCAAAACTATATTTTTTTAATACAGATTTAGGCTCAGGGGCCAAGGAAACCAAACAGCAAGACAAATGCTCTACAAGCACTAAGTCAAATTAATATCAGAATACTAATACCTGGAGAGTGTCCTCCTTTAGGACTCACCATACCATATGTTTTTTAACTAAATGCCAAAGCCAGATTGATAATTGCCTTTGATTAATATATTTTTTCACTATTGCTTGGTATTTGTAGTTATTGAAACACCCACAAGATTTCTCGGTGGTTTAATTTGCCTTGCTAATTATAGTATTTTATGGTTTATCATTTGTATTATTATGGTAATGACGGTTTTGCCCAACCTGATGTGTGATTGTACCAAATACATTTTTTCACAAGTAGTTGGAGACATATTGAGTGTTTCAGAGGTGGATTAAAGGGGAGCCCAGCTTGCCTTGGGTTCTCTAAATTATGAAAAAAAATGATAAAAAAAGAAAAACTATATTAAAATTCTGAGAGTGTTATTACTGGACATCTGAATGTGCCATAATCATAATTTTTTTTACCTCAGCCCAAAAAAAATCATGGTGGTATAAATCTTCTTCAATGAAAGTCCCTCCCAGGACCCCTCTATTTCAAATTCCTGTATCTGCCACTGTGTTCGGTACGATAACACATCAGACAAAAACATTCATTCAAACATTCAAAATTTATGCTAATGGTTATTACAGATACTTGCCCCTACAGTTTGATGCTGTATCTATAATAATTCATCATTTTAATAATTTACATTGTACAGCTCAAATTCCTTGATGGACCATTCTATTATCGCTGTTGTTGCCTGGAGGGTGGTGGTGAGGTATAAGAAACTGAGGCCCAAGCCAACACGCATACATGATCAATATTAGCAGTAGTTGTGGATAGGGACCTGCCAAGGAGTTTCCTGAAACCGTTGTTCTGTTCTTAATGATTTTATGCTTAATTTATTGCATTTTTTATATTTATCTCTTTCATACTTTCAATTTGTTAAATTTATAATTGTTATGACCCAGTCACACCTTGACGATTTAGCCAGCATATGCCGATGTATGAAAAAATTGGCAAATACGCTGGCGTACGTCGAATGAGTGTTTCGTAAGTTTCCTATAAGTTAAGAGCACGCTGGTATCTGTCCTAGTACGTCGAAAATGTTGAAAATGTTTGTGCATGCACAAAACTTTTCGACGTATACCAGCGTATGGCTCATACGTTCCACATATGCAGGCCATATATAGTAGGTAAGTTAAGCGATCGTTGACACAGGTTACTTGTAATTTACTCAAAAGTCGAAATACGTCGAGATAATTTCTAGTGTACCAAAAAGGTATTACCAACCTATGAGTATCATGCTTTGAACTTATATGTAACTTAAAACGAACTTATCTCCTACGTATATTGACGAGTGTATTATGTATTTTAAGTGTTACAGACGACCACAAACTTGCTGAACGTGTTTTTAACTTACAGTTACCGTATAATGGCGTATTGGCAGCATTTAGGGGAATATGTATATTAAGATGGGGTGATGTCGATACGGTAATGTAACTGTGATATCTAGTGTAGTTATGATTTGAATCGATGAGCGGTAGCCTTTTTGTAGGCTATGTCATGTGATCGTCGGTGATACGCTGCCGCGCGCTGTGCATAAGGTAGACTATCGTTGTGATAAGGGAAGTTGTGAACGCCGGCAACACGCTAAGCATTCGTTGGTATACGTTTTCTATAAGTTACCAAAACGTTCTGTATAAGTTACTAATACGTTATGTATATGTCCAATACGTTATGAATGCGCTATGTATCCGCCAAAAATTGAAAAAAAGCATCGATATTTCAGTGTATGCCAGCATTTTAGAGAAATTTTGATACTTCGGCATATGCATTAAGGTATGACGGGGCCATTAGTTATTAGTAATTCAAGTCGATGCTTGATCCAAAAATAAACCACCACAGGATTTTTTAAAATTTATTTCCTTTATGCATAGATAAATTGATTAAACATATCATTATCTAGGTTAAATATGTAAAAATAATTTGAAATGCTGATTAAAGTCTCTCGAGAGGAACTACAGTTACTTTCCCCTGAAGTACTGTTCCCATTACAAATGACTTTAATTTCTATCAATTATTCAAATTTTTATTTTCTCATCAGATTTTATATTCAGTGCCAGTGGTTTATCGCATCAATCAGACATTTGTTGGTTGAGTGGACTGTGATTTGTTACAAAAAAAAGGCAATTAGTATGTATCATAAATGTTGAAATTGTGGTATAATGGTTACGGTGCCTGCCTGCCACACCCAGCTTCAGGGGTTTCTATTCTTATAAACACCAAGTTTTTTTTCTTACAAAAAATAAATCTTAACTCTCTAAAGCTCCGTCCAGACTATCAAATTTTATTTGATAAAAACATGTGACATGCCTAAATATGGTCATGATGACATCACATCATGACCATATATAGGCACATCATGACTATATATGGGCATGCAATTATAAAGCATGGTGCATCCTGTGGGAGAACAGTGGCTTGATAGAGCATAGATTCCCTGTAGTACTGTATAAATAAGAAATAAATTAATGACAAAAAAAATCATGCATACCAAGTAGACAGTAGCCTGGTTCTCACTAGAGCCCTAGTATCCGGATCGGGAGCTAACCGTTAACACCTGCGTGAGAATGCCCGATCGGTTAGCGCTAACTGTTAGCAGTATCCGGATACCGCTAACGGTTAGAAAGCGCTATCAGTTAGCAAGTTGAGCGTGTTTCTATCATCAACCAATCACACATACGCGTTTACAATTTCCAGCTTCTTATTGACCAGTGATTCGATCATCATATTTTTGGTATCTGGATCGGGATTTTCTCGAATGGACGCACGGCAGCTAACGGTTAGCAGGATCTGGATTCTGCGTGTGAGAACTAAGCCAATATGAGGCTTGCCTTTCCAAAACCACCATACTGTCGCTAATTGTTAATCGTTAATTATCAAGAACGTGGCGGTAATACTTTAGTACAGAGAAGTCCTAATACTTTTACTCATAACTTGAGCAAGAGTAAGTCGCTTCTAGTATGACCCATCATTTTAAAGCTTAAAATGTGGAAATTAAGAATATAAAAAAGTAAATTTTCATTTTTTGGTCACAGATGCTGGTTTTGTGATGGCAAATCTTATATGTTCTCATGTTCTCATATGTTAAGGGATTGTACTTACAACAATAGTTAGATTTAAAAAGAAGGTTACATGTAAACAACCTGAACATTGCATATTTCACACAACATTCTTCTATTTCTCATGCTTATTTTTCCCACATCCAGAAAGTGCATAATTAACATTACATTGCTGATGTGGTTATTGTTCATTATTTTTAAATTTTATTTGCTAAAATAGATTTTTTACGAGATGAATTGTTTTGGTAATCGATTTGATCTCAGTCGTCAAGTCACGCACCATGCTTTGTTCATAAAAATATCAGCGATGCATTGATTCCACAAATAGAAACAAGTGTTTACCAAAGAACTTTGATTCCTTCAAAGTATATCATAACCAATGAGAGAATTGGACCTTTCCGCTAAGCCCCGCCCATTGGATTTTGTTGCTAAGGTCCCACAAGACGACAATGCTAAAACATACGCAAACACGTGCGTTTGTGGGACAACACGTGTTTGTGAGACGCGCGCGTATTCCTAGCGTTGTTCTGATTAGTCAGTTGTTAAGTTTGATTGACACTCCGGAAAGGTCTATTGGACCGTGGTGTGAGTTACTCCATCATGTGGTTTAATTTTGTTAAGCCTAAAGTTCATGCAGAGGTGGACCGTGACTTACAGTGCTTCTGCATTATTTTTGGTTCAGTTTGTCTCCATGTTAAATTTTTTTGTTTTCAGATTGATTTTATCCCTTTCATTAACAAAATAAATCATGGGTATTGGTCACAGCTCTTTCGCCATCAGCACACATGTTACTCGAGAGCGATTCTTGAGTTCGGAGCTCTACTTGATGAATTACTCCATTAAATATGGTGTTAAATTATAATTACTATTTGAGATTTTATTAATTATTTATAAATATTTATTTTTTCAGTAAAGTGATTATCTCTGAACTGTTTATTCTATATATTAATCTAATGTTTAATCGATAGAAATTTAGTTAATTATTCATGATAATAATATGTGGCAAAGACAAGCCAAACCAGTCACTCGTCGCAAACATCGATTTTGAGTTATTAATACAGGGTTAAAGAGTAAAATAAGAGATATAAAATGGTAAAAAAATCATTCAAATCCGACATTTCCTTATGAAGTTACAAGCATTTAAGCATCGAGCTGATTAAAGAACAATATATGAGAAATCAGCCTTCAAAGTTTATGATTTCAGGCATTTCACATGCAGAAACTATTATAAAATCATTAAAAAGTGTTGTTTTAACATTGAAATTGGGAAAAATAACAGCACAGCATGATGTATAGATACATGAACCTTAGTTTAGTGAAATAAAATAGATTTTAAAAAATTTTACATTCTAGCATGTTTTTGCTATTTTCTCTGAAACACAATTTGCGACGAGTGACTGGTTTGGCTTGTCTTTGCCACATATGATAATTTATTTAGTAATCAAATTAATATATGCCCACACATTAATATCATTCATGATTCAACCATGTTTTATTTGCATTACTTTTCTTTCAGGCATGTCCTTTATTCTCTGATTGCACAATAATAATTTATACAACAATAGCATTAATATCAAACACTATTTGTATTTATTCAAAGTTATTGTTTTGAATGTTTTTTGTAGGGTAGAAAGCATGGTTAGTTAATGATGGTGTAGGCTTCCTTCGCCAAACGCTGTAAGGAGCAACACAGTAGAGCAACATGGATATGCAATATAGGTAAGAATGAGTGTTTATTTATCAATTTTGTGGAAATGATTTGATTATCAATGCCTGGTTAAATTATGTGGTATCCCTACCATCACATTAAATATGCATACATATTAAATCAATATTTACATATATACAGATACCATAATATTATGATTATTTTTCATGGATAATGAATAATTACAAATTAAGCCCTATTTTTCAGTTGACCATTGTATGACCAGCATACTATAGATGGACATATACCGTATAAAGCTAGTAACATACCTTGTATTGTCTAAGCCTGTTTTTCCCAAGAATCAAAAATTTATGAAGAAGTCCATAATACCTTAACACCCCCTTTTTATGCTTTAATAATACATTTGATATTTAATTTTAGTCCTGTTGTTGATAATAATAATTATATAGGAATTTTACCATCCAAAATATGGGGGTGAGTGATGGATATTAGCCCTGTGGTTACCATTTACCAGCGGAAATGTGTGGGGGTGAATGGTGGTTGGATATAAAAGCCTACAATAGAATTCACCCTATATATATATCGCAGACTATAACCAACCTTAATTGCAACAATGTTTTTGGTCTGTTTTCAGCCTCAAAAATCAAATTTCAGACTAATTTACATATGTGCTATAAAAAGGTCTCCCATTGCACCTAGTACTGTATATCTGTTTGATTACTTGGCAGTTTAATTATGGATTGGCGTCACGGTCAATGAACCGTGCGTTTTAGATTCGCTGTTATTGATCCCAGAGAATCGCATCCCGTTCTGATCCACTAATTTTAAGACGTATATATTTCATTATGATTAATGCATGACTTCTGATGCACCTTCATTCTCAGCAAAATAATATTTAATTGGATTTAACTATATTATAACTACATCATTACAATAGGCTAGAATTGTTAACATTTATATAACATAAAGTAGTTCAAATATAAATTCACAAAATAATTATAGATAACAATTTATACTTTTATAATGCAAGATCCATTGTCCCTTGCAAAATAAAAAAAATAATAATTTTTGAAAGTTAATTTCAAAAATATTTTTTATGATATTATATAGGAGACAATACTAATTCAAATTTTTAAAAGATGCACAAAGATTAAGTATATTATCATTGGTGAATATTTTGATTTTCTGCAGGAATCTTGGGAGGGCAGGCCTAAGGGTATCATGCTTAGGACTTGGTAAGTACAAACTATTGTGAATTAAATAATAAAGTTTAAAAGTGAACTAATCTACTGTATGGGGAGCCATGTTGCACATCAGTAAGATTAGGCCTTCAAACAAAAGTAATGGATTAAAGACTAACAATGGTCACATTACTTGTTGTCCTTCGGCAAGACACTTTATCGACATTTGAAGACGTTGCGCATTATGCGTGACTGATTTTGAATCTGAACGCTCCAGAAAAACTGCCTCAAGATTTTATTTCTGAATGTGGTTTTGTTTTTATATGTTGTGTTTTTTTTATATCATGATGTGTACAGGGCCCTAGTAAATAGAGCACCTTTTAACCTGACTAGTCTGGTGTTTGCCAATTTAGTGTATCAAGGTTGACCCATTAAACTGTCAACAATATCCTTGAGTGAGGCCTAGCTAGTCCAGTTGCACTACTGTACTACTTTCAGTGATCTTGCTTGCATAAAAAACCTGCTGTGATTAATGTATAGTAAGCTCTTTATAACTATAACTGTAAGTACATGCTGCAAAAAAAATCTAAGGGCCATGTACACCTAATGTTATGTTCTTACTTAATGTTACCACCGATGAAATACATCTCAAGTGTGACAAAAGTTTATTTTGATAATGAAGATTATCATATAATTTCTATTATCTGTAAAATATCTAAATAAATACATAATAACGTCACGCAAATATCAAGGGCTTTTAATGAAAATTATTTTAGAAAAAATATAAAAACAGAAAATAAAAGCATAAAATCAATATACAGCAACCAAGTTTTTATTTGTTTTATTATTATTGCAAATGTTCTGTGGCACCTCACTTTGTTAATCTATCAGGGTTTAGCATCCCCCTCCCTTCCCACTCCCTCTTCACTTCTGTTAAAATTCTCAACAAATATCATTGAAACAAACACATTAAAAGTGCATGGTTATCATTGATCCCATTAGCATCAAAAACTTTTTGTACTCTTCATGTGACCTCAATTTATGAAGATCACGTCGACGTAAGTAACATGTTTATGCCGCTGATAGTGGTCGGCATTGATTTCTCTGTGAATTATCGTCACTACGTCGTTTGTTACCCAGTATGCATTTCTTGTGTACTTCCTTGAACCTGTCAGATCAATCGATGAGTTTTTTTTTCCATCTAGGTATTTTCTGAAGTTAAATGTCACTTTACAAGCTGATCAAGATTGATTGATTGTGATTGATTGATTTATCATAATAATTAATCTGAATAGATGGAATTATTTGATGAATCAATTTATTACCTAATTGGTTCAAATAATGTAATCAATTGATTGATCATTAGAGTGATTGATTGATTAGTATCGATCATTTGATAAATTGATGAATTATTTTACTTACTGGTTTGGTTGACTAATTAATTCAATAAATGATTGAATGAATGATTAAAGGTTGATGAAGTAGAGACTGACTTTGTTGAACAGCATGGTCGCGCACTTTTTCCAGTCCTGCTCATCCTTATCAACCACTTAGGTACCATTGCTAATTTACAAAGGAGTGTCAAATGATGTGATATCAGGAATGTAGTACTCTGTACTAAAAAATAATTAAAATCATAATTTTTTAAAATTTTGATAAATGATATTTTGATTTCTTGTTAAATTGAATTCTTATTGGAATAATTGGTTCACTGATTGATTAATTGATTGATTGATTGATTAATTAATTCGTTTACTAGTTGATTGAATTGTTAGTTAATTGATTGAATAATTTATTAGTTGAGTTAATTGGCTGAGTTGTTTTTTTTTAAATTTTTTTAATTAAAAGTGATTGTTAAATGGGTTTGTCAAAGTCAGGCCTGAATTGCATCCTTTTCTTGTCTGACCTACTTTAGCGTCAAATGAATTGCAATCCGAGAAAAAGTTCAATCCAAGTAAAGGAATCGAAACACTTGATACATTCTTGAATAATTATGGCACAATTTAGCTGGGTGATTTTGGCTGGATTTGAGATTGGATTTCTTTGGTGTAAAATACGTAAAGAATAACATACAAATAGCCTGAAAACTTACTTCCAGTGGGGTCCTTCTAGTTCAGTACATTGGGAGACAATCCTCTACTCTTCTGAAGAGTGTACTGCTCTCCAGCGAAAACCTAAGGAGAGCAGTGGATGGAATTAAACCAGGGACAAAGGTTATGTAAGATCTGGGTTCAGGTCATACACAGTGGTTACCACCAGTTGAGGTCTTTTTGGGAAAAACAGGAATAGAACTTAATCTCACATGTTCCTGATTTATTAGCCAATCACAATTCAGAAAATTCTCCATAAATATCATTAAAATAAACACATTAAAAGGGGATGGTTGTCATTGAACAATAATTACTGTATTTAAATAATTTGACATTTTTAATACTAAGTGGTAATATATAAATATAAATGTTTTCAATTACCAATCGATATGCTTTCCAGGAACATAAAGCATGAATACATTACAAGGTGATGTCGTTGGTATGGTTGTCTGCCGGGCATGGTGTGAAAATTTGTCGATTTTAATTCAGTAATCAGATCAGGCAAATTGATTGAATGGAAAGCTTGCTTCTCCTTGAAGATTGTAGAATTTGCAGGAGAAAATGTTTGCATTGGTTATGTCGGCTGACTGGCTTGGTAATGCTGTCGATGACCGTTCAAGCACGAAAACATCAATATTTTGTTCGACTATGATAGCATTAAAGAAGTTCTTACAAATAATACAAATTATTCTGCTTTTTCATAACAAACAATAAGGTATTGCTACCAATACACCTGGAGATATTTAAGTGTTGAACTTTACTCTTTGACATTTACAATGTCAACTTTGATGTCAAAACAGTTATAATTTAATGTACTGTATGTTAATAATCATTTCATTTCTGAATTCTGAATACTGAATATACTGAAAAAAGAATAAGTATCACTTTTTTTTATAATTACCGGTAATATATTTAAGTTTATGTATTAAAATTGCAATGAATAATGGCTACAATGCATAGGCTTCAGCACATGCAATTCCCCCCATTTTTGGATCACCATGTTTCTGCTTACCATTTTTGTATTCATTTATTATAGATTTTTAATCAACGTTTTATGTACTATTAATATTTATCGTGTTTCTATGAGAAAGTTTGATTTTTAATTTCCCAGGCACAAAAGGTATATATTCAATCTTTAATCATCAAATACAAGAAGCTACAAAAAAATACTGAGATTTAACATATCGCGGGTCTGAGTCCCACTATACAGCATACAGTATGTTCCCTTTGCTCTCCCATATTCACTGAAATTTAATAGAAATTTAAAGTATTATACAATATTATATATACAAGGACATTTGTCCTTTAATCATATAGCACAGTATCTGTCATAATCCAATAGACAATGGGATGTGTAATATAGACTGTAAGATGTATATAAGACCGATACAGATAAGGTATACTGTATATATACAAGATATAATTATAATATAAGATAAATATTCAATATACGAAATAGATACACGACACAAAATATACAACATGTAAGTATACAAGATAGGGGTACATTATATAATATTATATTAAATAAAGATTCAAGATTTACACATACAAATATACTATAGGACCCCCTCCCTTGGGACACCCCTATTAAGGGGGACACCATTTTTGACAAGAAGCAATGTAAAATATATCTTTTAATTAAAATTACAGTTAACCCCTTTAATTAGGGGGACACTTTTGTCTTTAATTTAATTTTTAATTTATTGGCTCTCTCTTTCAAAACAGAGGAACACTCTCACGCAGGAGAGGTTTGACCATACAACAGAACAAAAGTTATGAGTAAAGATAAAATCCTTGAAGTCTCCTGAATAGAAGTTTATTGTAGAAAATACAAGATGAGAGCTATATTACCCAGCACACACTAAACATAACATTCATGAAAGTTGTGTTAGGTTATGTCAGAAAATGACATTATCACGTTGCAGGAATGTTAGCAACATTATTAATCGGAAGTCAAATATGTAATTTATGGTTAAGCAAAAAAACATTTTGTACAACAAACTGTAACATTATTAAAGCGCCTCAAGGTTTCTCAACACTATAAATCTCAAATCAGTAATATTATGACCATCATCACGAAATATTGAATTGTTAACTGGGTGGACCCATGTGTTGCAGTGGTAAGGCATTCAGTTTACAATTAAAAGAGTGTTAATTGTAGTTCGAAACAAGCCAATGTTCGTTTCCTCGGGCAACTGAGCACTTTAATCACATCTAATCCACCCAGGAATATAAGTGGTAGGGTACCTTGTAGGTTTGAATGGTAATGCGATGATAGTTGCAACGATATGGAATACTTGATATGGATCACTTCCCAAGGGACTGACTGTGTGTTCCATAGGTGTTTGATCCTTGATTGAATGGGATAATAATATAAACATCCCATATTATTATTACTCAAACAAATATAGGAAAATAGACAATGTACAATTATACAGAATAAACAATTCATTTGTTTACATTTAAGAATGTTTCTACTGGATTTACTTGTTTATTCAATAGCGATATTTCACGTCCAATCCAGGACGCATCATCAGGCCAACTGGTGTTCTGTGGCTAAAGGTCGTGACCTGTGACGTCAGATGGAATGTCGCAAGTGAAAGTTGAGACGGAGAAACCTTGATGGGATTTTCTTTATAGCAGAACTATACGCCCCTGCCAAGTTGAAAATTAGGATTAAAAGCGTCCACTAATTGGAAAATTAGTGGACTGTGGGGGATAGGCAAGTAAATTGGAAGTTGCACTGATGACGTCACTATTGACTTATAATATAAATTATTGTCATAATCCAATCCAATCTTAAATTTGTAAGGCGCATACATAATGTCTCTATGTGTCGAAAATGAAAAAGAAGAATACAATAAAAAAAAAAAAGCAGAAAAAAAAAAAATGGTAGGGGTACATGGCGATGAGTTTGGTAATGCAGGTACAATAAAATTGGTAGTTAAAAGATAGTTTACA